TATGCGTGGAACATAGAGGAACATGGAGGTCTATATATTCATTTTCTCCTCATCTTTCTCATTTTTTTCGCCTCTCTTTCTCTCTACCCCAAAAAAAACAAACCCTTCTTATATTTCTAGAGAGAGAGGCTATGACCTCTGTCTAGAAGCCCACCACATAGAAAATCACTCCGTCTAGAGCGCCACCGGCCGGAAATTACTTTCGTCGGCGGCTGCGTCTGGGAACCATCACCTTCATCCCAATCTTCATCCTTCAACCTAGAATCTTCAACCTTCAACCCCAACCTTGATCCACAAACCCAGAAACCACAGTGGGCGGCCGTGAAGGCCGTTGTTGGGGATGAATGTCTTCCAGAGACATCATCCTTTACCCAGAACTTCATAAACCCTATGAATCCAAAAACTAACCCTAGGGTTCTCACTTGAACCATAGAAATATCCAAACCCAGAAACATATGAACTCAAGAACCCTAACCCTAAACACCTAGAACTCTAACCTTAACCTAACCTAAACCTAACCCCAAATTTCCAGAAAAACCCCAAATCAAGCACCAAACGACAATAATAACAACAAAATTAAAACCCTAAGCTAAGCTCAATTACGTTTATTTCTCATGTAGTGACTCTTTTAGTATAATCCTCTTATGTTTTCTTTGATCTCTCCTTTGATCTCCTTCTCTTCTTCTTCGTAGGTACTAGGATTGAAGGGAGTCTAGCTCAAATAAATTAGGATTCTAATTATGAACCCTAATTCCCTATGGATGAAGAGATTTTACTGAAGGGTTTAGGGATTCGTAGCAACAATCACAAGCTCTCCAAGGGTTTTATTTTTTTCATCCTTAATCCATTAGTTTAGACTTCTATTTATAGTTTTTTTAAAATTAGTCAGAATTAGGAAATTATGTTAGTGATTTTCAGTTATAGGTTGTGATTGGATCAATCTTAGAGATTTGATTGAATTCTGATTGAGATTTGTAGAAATCAGGGTTTCTATAATGATGTATCTGGACATTCTTTCGTTATAAATGCAAAATCAGTAAAATAACTTTCAATCTTTCATATTTACTTAGATTTGATCCAAAAATAATAATTATGGGCTTTTGTGTTAGCTTGGGGACGAAGAGATCCAAAGTCACGTGTGCAACAAAGAAATTAGGGGTTTTACCCTTTGGTTGACTTGGTCAACAATACAACAATAAAAAATAAAAAAATAATATAAAAATAAAAGAATATATAGCGCATGTGTGTATGTTGACCTTAAGTCAACCTTAATAATAAGATTTAAATAAATAATAATTTTAAAACTAATGTTGACTTTAGTCAACAATTAAATTTATCAAAGCCTATTCTAATGGGCTTCAAGACACCTAAATGGACCGTTTAGACTGATAAACTCCTTTTGATAAAAATACACCTCCTCCCTTTATGGATTCACCAACATTTACACGGGCTTTTCCAATAGACTAATAAACCAGTACACCCCTCAAATAAACATGACACACCCCTCTCCAATTGAATCTTAATACAAATTTTAGAATGCACAACTAATACCACTTAGATATAAGTTAATCATAATTTTAACAAAAATGTAACAATACCAAAATTAATATCAATATGGTCAACTATAATAAATTGACCATTACTCAGTAGGGAAAATTTGTGGTATGACAATGAGCGACAAATATATATGAGTTCAAAGTAAATACATATACAAACTCAACAAATAAAGAATACTCAAATAAGAAGAGAAATGAACTAAAAATGTCTCAGTTTGTTAGCATCGATCGAAGAGCAATCCACGTCGGATCATCCATATGCAAGCTTCATAATTATTTTCTAAGCTAATCCTAAAGAAAAATGAGGGTCGATGAATTTGGGAGATAAAACTATTCCCAAACCCGTAACCACAACAAATGAAATGAAGAGAAAATAAATACAAAGTTTTGTCCCGCAACCGTCGCCCGACGAGCCAAACACGGTGCCCGACGATGCAACATTATTCCTTGGTCTAGCCTGCTCCACGTACGCAACTGGGGAAAAATATCTACCATCGCCCGACGACATAAAGCTTTACCCGACGATGCTACGCTAACTCGCCCAGTGAGCTGCTGGCGAGCCCAATCCAGAAGCTACTGGAAAATTTATCCAATCCTCTCGCCCCTCTGCCGCCTAACGAGACAGACGCGATGGCCTCTCGCCCTATCATTGCCCAACGACGCTTGTCAGACTGAACTGTCTTATTTATTCTTTTCTTGGCTTCCAGCAGCGACTTTATTACTCAAACTTGAATCTTGGAGCTGTGTCTTTGACACCTTATTGCTCAATGCTCCAAACACGCTTAAATACCTACAAAATAGATACAAACTATCAAACGATACATTATGTACACAAAAACGCACATATACATAAACTAAACATATTTATATACAAAGTCGGGAATTATTCATAAAATATTGACATAAGCATTGATAAGTGCAATAAAACAGATATACAAAAATAGCCACAATTTACACTTATCAAACTCTCCCCAACTTGAACCCGTTTGTCCTCAAACAAGGTCAAATAAACTTAAAGAAGCAAAAAGTAATCAACCAAAGAATCATGAATCAACAAGTTTTAAAACGGAAAACAAATGTATGACTCAATCAAAAATGCATACGCAAAGTACATACTTACCACAATCCTACAACGACAACATGAAAACGAAACAAATTCTAAGTACAAAAATCATACTAAACATTCTAAAACAAAACAAGCTTAATCATGAATCACACCTAATAAAAATTCATCGATAGATGAAGAACACACAAAAGTGAGGGACATAGACGGTTTTTTACTTAGCGACTGAGTTAGTAGCTAAATCATAGTTAAATTACAAGAGGATTAAAAAATAATGACAGAAAATTTTAAGAGAATCATTATTCAAAGAAAAATTTTAGAGGAACCAAAATTGCAGAGTCACATATTTATAAAGACTAAAAATAACGTATTTAACCCTTTATTTAAAAAAAAAAACTCTCATAATATTAAAAAACAAAACAAAAACAAATCAGGACAATTTAATGAGAAATCTTTATGGTAAATCATATCTTGAAGAACTCAAATCTTATATTAATGTTTAACCGTTTTTAAGATTGAGGTAACATAGTTATAAATGTTGTTCCTTAGTTTCATTCTTTCAAGTTATAACTATATGTTTCATTCTTTCAAGTTATAACTATATGTTTCATTCTTTCAAAAAACATGTAATTGATTATTGATTTTATTATGGTTGAATGTTCTAGAGTGGAATTTTCCTGACTTGTAGAACTGATTTTGACTTGAAATAGGATTATAAAACTTTTGTGTCATTATTTTAAAGATGCCTCCCAAATATATCTTTCAAGTCATTTTAAGAAAACCTTTTTCTTTCACAATTTATATTATAAGTTTCTTAGCCATATGAAAAATCTTGATTTAATTTGAATAAATTTTGTTAAAATTTGAATAGAGTATGAGTATAGCACCGAATTTGCTTGCTTTTTCTATTTGAAAAAAAAAAAAACTTATCGAAGGTCTATTTTAAACTAATAAATGTTATAAGGAACAAAACCACACATAAATTGGCGAAACTAATGATAGAAACACAACCATACCAACTTATACAAAATTAATATATATTGTTCGGTTATTGATCCAATACTGCATAAGCTTAATTACTCTCCACCATATATAAACCATCACATGAGTAGTACTCTAATTTTATAGAACAAATAAAAATATTTCAAAAAATATGAGTTTTGTGTTTTTTATTTTATTGCATTTTATTTATTTAATAAAAATTTAAAAATATCTAAAAAAAAGGAGATTGACTTGGTCTTTTACATTTAATTCATCATATCATATAACATCATCAATATTTTTCTTTTAAAATTAAAAAAAAAAAATCTAAATTTGAGAAATTCTTTAGTATAAATCTTTAATTAAAACTAGAATGTTATTTTAGTGTGGGCTCAAGGCCCATTGTTTTCCACACTCCCATTTTGGATTCAGACTAATTTTAATTTTGGTTAATGTCATCCATTATGCATAAATGTATTCTTAAAAACAAATGTTTCATAGTATGACAAAAAATACAATCTTATGTCCTTGTGGTAGTTCATCATCCTTAGTCTACCGGACCTTTAATAGTATGATGTTTGATACGCTTCTCGTTGTTTACCATCGTTAATCTATCAGATTTTTGATAGTATGGTATTTAATCTTATGTCCTTGTGGTCGTTTATCATCGTTAGCCTAACAGACTTTTGATAGTATGGTACTCACCTCCTGTGACATATATTGCTCGTTTAGACTTTCGTCCTCGATAGGGTTTGTATTACCTCTTTCTCTTCATTGGACTTTATTTCAATAGAGTTGAGCTTTCTCCAGTCACAATATTGATGTTTACTGTCATCTCTAAGTCAGTATTATTCTATTTCTTTTTCTACCTTCAATCCTGAATTGGTAGTTTACCGACATCTCTAAATTTATCTTTGGATTGTCCGGTTAATCGATTCAGATTGGAATATTCCAATCTGACTTTTGACATGATATTTTAATTAATTTTTTTTTTATTCGCTTAGACCTATCATTGCATGAGTTTCAAAATGAATGATTTAGTTACTGAATAGATAGAATATTTCTTGACTTGGAAGTTGTGTTATTAAAAGAGAGAATATTTCTTACTAAAACATCATGATCATGCATTTATTTTTGTCATAAAATAAAATTAAAATTATTGAATCCTTCACGAGACTGAGTTAATATTAAACTTCCAAGTCATCAAGTCGACAATAAGTAATTAATACCCCAATTGCCGAATGAGAGAGAGACTGAGCTAGTATTAACTTCCAAGTCCACAAGTGAACAAGAATAGTATGTCATCAACCACACGGCTACCCCAATTGCATATAAGAGGTGCTGTATATACAAGAGAAACTATTATTTGTGTACGCATAATACATATCTCCAATAGCAAAATGAGAATTTCAATGACTTGTTTTCTCTGCTTTGCAATCCAAGTCTTGGTGTATTACATGCTCTTACCAACAAATGCTCTTTCTTTGACTTCACACACCGATAAACTTGCTTTGCTTGCTTTGAAGGATAAACTTACAAATGGTGTGCCTGATTCTCTACCATCATGGAATGAGTCTCTATCTTTATGTGAATGGCAGGGTGTAGCATGTGGCCGTCGTCACATGAGAGTATCTGTCTTGCATTTGGAGAATCAAACTTGGGGTGGTACTCTTGGTCCATCCTTGGGAAATCTAACATTTCTCAGAATACTCAAACTTAAAAACCTCGCTTTGCATGGTGAAATTCCAGTTCAGATTGGTCGTTTGAAGCGATTGCAAGTTCTTATCTTAAGCTACAACAAACTTCAAGGAGAAATTCCTGTAGAACTCACGAATTGCACAAATATCGAGGAAGTTAATTTGATGGAAAATAAGCTTATTGGAAGAATTCCCACATGGTTTGGATCAATGAAGCAACTTATTATCTTAAATCTTGTGACCAATAGTCTAGTTGGTACAATTCCATCTTCCCTACAAAACATTTCATCACTCCAAATGCTATATCTTACAGAAAATCACTTGGAAGGAACCATACCTTATTCTTTAGGTAAGTTGTCAAGTTTGAATCTACTCTATCTAGCTTCGAATAATTTGTCAGGTGAAATCCCTCATTCTCTTTACAACCTATCAAATATTCTATATTTAGATCTTGGGGAAAACGAATTATTTGGTAGTTTTCCATCAAATATAAATATATTTTTTCCCAATCTTGTCGAATTCTTAGTAGGAGACAACCATATAACCGGGAACTTTCCAACTTCACTATCCAACCTCACTGAACTGGAAAGGGTTGATATAGGACAGAATTCTTTTAATGGGCTAATACCTAACACTTTGGGTCGATTAAATAAACTTGAACTTTTTCTTATGGGCATAAATAATTTTGGGAGTGAAGAGCTCGCGATTTAGACTTTCTTTCCTCGTTATCCAACTGCACTGAATTGGCAACACTCGTTTTCCATTTTAATAGATTTGGTGGTGAATTGCCTGATCTTATAGGAAACTTTTCCACCAATCTTATTTGGCTTGATATGCGTTCTAATCAAATATATGGAGTGATACCTAAGAGAATTGAACAACTTACCAGTTTAACTTATTTAAGCTTGGAAATAATTTGTTTGAGGGAACAATTCCAGATTCAATTGGAAAGCTTACAAATCTAGTAGTCTTGGTCTTGCAAGATAACAAATTATCTGGTAATATTCCCTCAAGTATTGGCAATCTTACCGTCTTGTCTGAGTTATATCTAGCTCATAACAAATTAGAAGGACACATTCCATTTTCCCTTAGATATTGCACTCAAATGCAAAAATTAAGTATTTCTGATAACAAACTGAGTGGTGATATACCTAATCAAACATTTGGCTATCTAACAGGTTTGATAAATTTGTTTTTATACAACAATTCATTGACCGGTTCCATTCCTTCAGAGTTTAGTAATTTGATGCATCTTTCACAATTGCAGTTATACTCAAATAAGTTGTCTGGTGTAATACCTTTGTTCTTGAGCTCTTTAGGATCTGTAGAATTCATAGACATTTCTGAAAACAATTTTTCAAGCACAATTCCCTTAGAACTAGAAAATATGACTTTTTTGAGTATGTTAAACTTGTCTTTTAACAATCTTTATGGGGAGGTTCCTATAGGAGGTGTCTTTAGCAATGTCACAAAAATTTCATTAATTGGAAACAAGAATCTTTGTGGAGGAATACCTCAGTTGAAGCTTCCTCCATGTTTTAAGGGGCCATCCAAGAAACACAAAAGATCTCTAAAAAAAAACTTATCTTCATCACAGTATTTGGCGGAATTTTTATCTCTCTCATAGCTTTTACAATTGTCCATTTCTTACGAGAAAAGCCAAAAAGCTATCTTCTTCACCATCTTTGCAAAATAGGTCCTTGAGAGTTACTTATGGAGAGCTACATGAAGCAACCAATGGATTTTCTTCATCCAATTTGGTTGGAACAGGAAGTTTTGGCTCTGTTTACAAAGGATCTCTTCTCAACATTGAAAGACCTGTTGCTGTAAGGTGTTGAATCTGAAACACGCGGGCAGAAAAGAGTTTTGTTGCAGAGTGCAATGCTCTGGGAAAGATGAAACATCGGAATCTTGTGAAGATCCTAACTTGTTGTTCAAGTGTTAGATTACAAGGGTGAAGATTTCAGGCTATTGTTTTCGAGTTCATGCTAATGGGAGTCTTGAAAATTTGTTGCATAATGATGAAGGGTCTAAAAATCATAGTCTCGGCCTCACACAAAGGGTAGACATTGCTCTTGATGTAGCTCATGCTTTGGATTACCTTCACCATGATGAAGAGCAAGTTGTAGTTCACTGTGATATTAAACCAAGCAATGTTCTTCTTGATGAAGAGATGGTAGCTCACTTGGGTGACTTTGGATTAGCAAGGCTCATTCATGGTTATTCAAGTAAAGATCAAGTTAGTTCCTCTACAATTAAGGGAACTATAGGATATATTCCTCCAGGTAAAATTCTTTCTGATTTGTTACTATCCTTCAAAATGTTCTCCCTATACTTATTACTTACCTTACATGGCATAATAGTTCAAAATAATTGATTTCTTAATATTTTGCACAGCCTTCTCATTATATAAAAAATTATTCTGTTTTAATAATTATAATTATGCATCGGTATTTGATTAAAATTTTAAAAGAAAACTTGCTATTTTTTAATAGAGTATGGAGCAGGTGGTCCAGTAACACCAGAGGGAGATATTTACAGTTATGGAATTATGTTGTTGGAAATGATAACCGGAAAGAGACCAACTGATAATATGTTTTGTGAGAATTTTAATCTACACAAATTGTGTAAGATGAAACTTTCTGACGAAATTCTTCAAATAGTGGATTCACGTTTGGTTATGCCATTTATTGAAGATCAGACATGGATTGTGGAAAACAACATAAAGGAGTGTCTAATGATGTTTGCTAAATTAGGAGTTGCATGTTCTGAGAATTTCACACTCAGAGAATGCTCACAAAAGATGTTATTCTGAAATTGCTTGAAATTAAACAAAAGTTGTCCAGCTAGGCATTATCACTGTTGGATAATTTCTAAAATATATGTATTTTATGAGTGGTGAAATGAATATAAACAATTTTATATTTGGCATCAAGAAAAAAAGTGGCCTAGTGGTTTGGTCAATTGATGTTGCTATTATATCTGAAGTTTGATGGTGATTGCATTTGGATGTCCTTATTCGTTTGTTACTTTAAACAATAAAAATATTTAAATTGGAGCCTCTGTTGAGAGTGGAACATAAGATATGGAATGATGGAAAGGACGTATAAATGTTGCTACAATCAGACCATCACAACAATTGTTATAAAATGGAACAGTATTTAAAATATGTATCGGCATATGCCTGAAACTCTCCAAGACGTTTCCTTGACCATACATAGCTTACTCTATAAATAAAAGACACTTTGTATTAGAAATTCAAAACACAAGCAATCAATTTCTTTTACAAATTAAAACTAATAAGGGAATGTGTTTTTC